AAAACTCACATGCCATAGCAAATTGTCATGGAAATAAATTTGTTGTTTTTTTCGATTTCACACGTCCTTGCATTTACACAATGTCCTCGGTCTTGTTTCACTACCAATAATGTTATATGCATCATATTGGAATTGTAAGTGTTCCAACCCCACTTGTAGCAAATGTCGCTACGAGAGCGAGATGGAGTATACGTTCACCCGGAAGCTATAATTATCCTTTGTGACATATACATGTATTGTATGGAAATAATAAATAAGTATAAGGTACAAAAGTACAAAGGAAACCATCTGTCTCTTAAAATGCCTTATTAGTGGTTAACCAAGGAAGTAGCACATCCTTTGCTAAGAAACAAATTGAAGGGAAGGTCTTTAACACTTTGTCTTTGTGTCTTCAATAATGAAAGACAGTGGATCTTACAAATTAGCTAGTTCTACTTAGCTTCATTAAGTATGAAATATTAATAAACAGAGGACAGTTATAAAGCCTATATTTCATATTTGTCTCTAGATAGATATTTCCAGTAGAGTTTATTAATTGGAATACGTTAGTGATCAGTAACGTCTACTAATTGCTTGTAAAATTATTAAGAAAACTTATTTAAAAATACATAGAATGCCAACTATTCTAGACTAATAATATATTTTGAAATATCGAAAAATTTATAACATTTGTTCGTAAATTTGTCTTTTATGATCTCTATATCAATTTATCAGTATAGATCTGACACGTATAAAGTTCGTGTTTGTCTCTTCCAAACATCATTTTTTATTGTATATCCTTTTAATGAAACTAACATGGATATCAATAATTATGTATTTATTAACAGAAAGGTTTTAAAATTTGTTGGCCTTTATCCAACGAATATCGTGAGATATATCATATGTTGTACGTGTATGATTACCATTGTTATACCGCAAGGACTGCAAATTTATCAAAATTGGCAAGATCTGTCTACTGTATTGGAAACGAGGTATATGATTACAAATTCGTAGCATTGACACAAAGCGGGCGCTTATATTACAACTTTGTATGTTTTAAGGAAAATTCAAATAATTCTATTTCTTTTATTTTTATAGTTCAGTATTGCTCACTATTTTACTTGCTATATTAAAATCGTTAGTTTGGATAAGCAATAGAAGAAAAATGGATCCTTTTATCAAATACATGTTAACCGATTATTGGAATATATTGACAACATATATTTCGGAGAAACGCACAGATGTATATGCAATGTAAATAAATGTTTTTTTTTTTAGTTATAAATGCATAAGTGCATCTACGGATTCACATATACTTCATTGTGTTACTCATTTACAGATATGTGAAGAAAGGATATTTATATACTAAAGGATATTTATTTTTGATTTGTAATTCTTTAATGTTCTTCTTTAGTCTACCTATAATTGAAATAGTTATTGTTGTGATTAAAGGCACTAACAACAATACTATAAAGCATTTTCCGTTTTTAGCTTTGTATCCAGAATATTATTATAATTTTCCGATGTATGAGGTAAGATCCTTATTTTCAGGGGCTCGTCAAAATTGTTATTATGATTATATTCTTAAAGCTTCCACGGGTGCTTTCTATATAAAAGTTATGCGTTTCGCGGGTTTCCTCCGTGTTCAGATCCATTCTTGAAATGCCATTTCAAGAATGGATCTGGACACGGAGGAAACCTGCGAAACGCATAACTGTTATTGTGATTGTAATATTCGTACATATTCTCATTTACGTAGATTACTTATTTCTCGCAAATGATAGCGACAAGCTTATGTGGCCTTATTATCCTGGGAACTGATACTTTAATTGCAACAGCGTTGTTTCACACATGTGGCCATTTCAAAGTACTTAAAAAAAAAATTAAGGATATTAACACTTTGCAAATTGATTTCGTTAGTATTTATTTGAGAAGATTCATATTTTAGCGTATTATTATTAAATTAATATGTTTTGGATGCTATTTTATTCTTGCAAACATATTAAATTTTTTTATTTAGGTACAACATACAAATCTCGAAGAAAGTACTATGCAAAATATTAAATTGCATATAATAGACATTATTAAACATCATTACACGATTCTTTGGTATTAATTTTAAATATATATTTGTAATATACACACACACACGTATGTATATATATATATATATACACACGCGCGCACACACACATACACACATATACACATGAAAAATGTCGAAATTTTGTATCTAGGTTTTGCGATTATATGGAAACAATTTTTAGCCCAATGTTATTTCTGCAAACATTAGCTAGCAGCCTCATAATATGTCTAGTAGGTTTTCAAATTGCGACTGCAAACATAACTGCAAGTACAATCTCCAAGTCGATTAAATACATCTCATATTTAATCATGGCACTTTTTCAATTGCTGCTCTTTTGTATACCTGGTGATGCTTTGATATATGAGGTAAAATAAAATTAGCATCTCATTAAAAAAGATGTATAGCGACTTAGGCTTCGTTCCGTTTCACGCATGATGCGCATGATCTATCCTTTTATCATTTTTTAATATTCGATGTACAATAAAAATAAAATGATATGTCATGCGCACCATGCATGAAACAGAACGCACCTTTATATGCATATGTAAGTATGCATATAGATAAATATATGCATACTTACATATATACTTATACATTTGTGTGTGTGTGTGTGTGTGTGTGTGTGTGTGTGTGTGTGTGTGTGTGTGTGTATAGGGTGTCCCATAACTCTTAATTAATATTTCTAGGTGTAAAAGAGGATGAAATTTATTTCAATCTATATAAGTTATAAAACTAGAGTTTGGAGGGGGTATGTAACTATCCAGCAAACGAGAATGGATTGAAATGAATTCAGATTTTCAGAAATATTGATTCACGAATGTTGAAATGAATGCTTTTTAATCCTAAATGCATTTTTATTCATTTATAGGAATTGTATGGAGCATATCTCTATATGTGCCTTTTAATCTAAAAATAATATTAGCTTTTTCTGTGTACAAACACACAATTGTGAATACTGTTCAATTCAAAAATTTTGAATAGGAAATGCAGTTTTTCAATCCAATTGCATCCAATTGAATCTAATTGAATCCAATTGAATCCAATTAAATCCAAAAAAATGTATTCGCTATTTAAAATACGCATTCGGATAGAAAAAATTTCAATCCATTTTAATCCATTCTCATTTGCTGGGCAGCTCCGATGATCTTGACCTTGTATATGTTATCAAGTCATGACTAGAGATGTAAAAAAACGGTATTTTTTACTTCGGAGAAAAGTACCAAGTAAAAAACGGTATTTTTTAACAAATTACATAAAATTCATTAAAAACCTTAGAATTCATGTTAAATATATAGAAGAAGAAATAAAATTCATTTTTCTTGTTATTTCGATACTTTTTAATACTTTTGTCTTTATAATTTTATATCGAAGCGGAAATATGTATTATTGGCTGTTGCAATTCTTGATAAGATGATAATAGATTAATAGATTTATTTGCATTGCTTGCATTCTTTGCATTCAGCATCTGTGCTTTCTCTAATTTCAACATCCGAATTTATTTTTCTAATAATATCACTTTAAGTGCAAAAATTTTGGGAGATTTCAAGCAATGCGAACAGATCTAAATGACCTAAAAAAAATATCCGAGTAAAAAACTGTCAATGTGAAAGGAAAAAAACTATTAATTTTTGAATTTTTTACTTTAAAATTCTAGTGTTTTTCGTTTACATCTTTAGTCATGATCCTGAGTGACCAAATTTTAACCGTCGCCTATTATACATTAAAAAGTTATTAACAACAAAAAAGTTCATCATTAAAATCTAACTTTTGACAAAACTGCGCTCCGCGCGCGATGAAACAAATTCCCTGCTCTTTAACGCAAAATACTTATATAATTTCTTATACAATTTTAGCAGGGAAGAAGTCACTACGCGTGGAAAGTTGTAAAATATACTTTAAAGCAGAAAATTTCTGTTTTATATGTGTAGTAGAAAAGAGACATCATTGTTCGAACTTCTTTTGTTAATAATTTTTTAATGAAAAACGAGTGACAATTAAAACCTGATGGAGGTTACTTAGAGTGACCTTAACAACATATGTCAAAGTCAAGATCATCGGAGCCTCTCCTATTCGGAATAGTAGTCAAATATTCTAAAAAAAATAGTACTGACGTGACTAAATAGAAGCAATTTTATTGTAAAACGTTTGTGTCAAACTTTTTTTTATATTTTGAACAGTTTTTAAGATATAGCGGAGAAAGCTAACACGTGAAAGCTGATTTCACCCTTCAAACCGTTAATTGGCAACGACTTTTAGAACTTTAAAAAAAATGATTATTTTTAAAAATATTACTGACGATAAAGGTAATTTTATTATAAAACTAATTGTAAGTAGATTTCTATCACAAAAAAAAAAGATAAAAAGATATAATTTCCACACTATCTACCGCGAAGTATGTAGATATCATAGTGCTTAGCACTTTTTTTTTACAATGGTTTCCTCAGTAGATCTATTCCACTCTCATTTTTTAATGCATGAATTATTCCAAATCCTCTCTCTCTTGAATAGTTTGAGACATATCATTTAAAAAATGTTTAAAAGGATATATATCATTATTACATAAAAATTCACTCCTTTATAACTTTTTTCTAATAAAATATCTTTTTACGTTATAAATTTTTTTATTTTAAATTTGCATAAATTTTGACATTTCCATGATATCAAGATCACTGTGTTAAATTCATAATGTCAAATTATACTCAATTTGAGTTATTTTTAATTATATTTCTATAGATCGCCTATTTATCGCCTAATTATATTTCTATAGATCGTCTATATTTCTATAGACTGCTCCTACTCGTATGTCGTTAATTAAAATAGTGGAGTTAAATAATTTACCTCAAGAAATTAAATTTTACTCAAATCCAGTTTATTATTTACGTACATATGTTATAATATAAACGTTATCTATGTTGAAATTAATTCCAGAAATGGATTGATTTACATTTTGACACATGGAAGTAAAAAATAACAAAATATTACTTAACTCAAGGGACAGAGTTGCCATTGCTCCTTTGATATCTGAACAGTGGTGGGTTATCGTGTTATATATTTCCTGTAATGTATAAGCACATCTTTTATTATGAACAGCAATGTGAATGTATTTATTATAAATTTTTAAAATTAATTGTAAATCTCTTTGTTAATACTAACATGATTATTGATGACAAAATGTTCGCAATTATGATATTCATAAAAAAAGTGCTGCATATAAAAATATTTCTTGCATTAAGAACATTGTATTATAGCAGGTGCATCACATATGGAACAGCACGGTATTTCTTGAATATCTTCTTTCCAGAGAAACAAAAATCTATTGAAGTTTCGAAATGTGCCGGTTCTTCAATGTATCCATTCTTGAACCAGACATATTTAAAAAGATTATAAAATCGTGGAGAACATGGCTGTATACGCATCAAGGATTGTAATTTGATATTATTTGTCAAATATAAATTAATATCATGATTTAATAACATAACGCGATCGCTGAATGTTCTTACAAAATTTTTCCATAGTCTGAACTCACAAATACTAAAGGTTGAATCATTCCTGTAATTTTCTTTGGTATAGTTAAAATCCGTATATTTTTATCTTTTTTGCATAAATTCTTGCAGACTTGCAGGACAATGCCCGCTCCAAGAGCTAATAACAGTACATTGAAACTTTCTTAGCGGATACAAATACATTTGTAAACCAAGACTAAAAGTATTGTTTAGTTAATTTGTTCGATGCTGCAATGTAAACATTTGCAGGTCTAAATAAACTTTTCTATGCGTAGTCCAAAACTTCTACTTGCTTCTTTCAGTAAAAGTATCAAGTAGAAAAGCGATCTCAATTGTCCGCTTGCAGAAATTATGGGCATAATCGTATAACTATGCGTAGTTACCGATTGTGATTGAACTATGTTTTCAATTGTTTACCAGGTGTACAAGTATGAAATGCGGATTTGAGAAAACAGATGGCGCATCAATACAGTGGTATAAAGATTTACTGTTATGCCATTTTGAAATGCCATCAACAAGTATCAGATGCGCACGAGTGATAAACTGAAAAAGTGTTTGCATAACGTTGTGTTGCTGTGTTCGATATGTCGAAATTTATACCAAACAAAGAGCATTCGCGGACAACATTAATTTTTTGTTTTCATTTGAAGAAAACTGCTGCTGAATCATACCGATTACTTCGAGAAGCTTATGGAGAACATGCTCCATCGCAAGATACGTGTGAACGATGGTTTCGGCGTTTTAAAAGTGGTGACTTCGATGTTGCAGACAAGGAACACGGAAAACCGCCAAAAAGGTACGAAGATGTGGAATTGCAAGCATTGTTGGACGAAGATGATTCACAAACACAAAAACAACTCGCAGAGCAATTGAGCGTTAGTCAACAAGCTGTTTCTAATCGCCTACGAGAGATGGGAAAGATTCAGAAGACCGGAAGATGGGTACCGCATGAGTTGGACGGCAGGCAGATGGAGAGGCGCAAAAACACATGTGAAATTTTGCTTGCACGATACAAAAGGAAGTCGTTTTTGCATCGTATCGTTAGTGGGGATGAAAAGTGGATTTATTTTGAGAATCGCAAGCGCAAAAAATCATGGGTAGACCCAGGCGCACCATCCACATCGACCGCAAGACCGAATCGCTTTGGCAGAAAGACGATGCTCTGTGTTTGGTGGGACCAGAAGGGTGTGGTCTATTATGAGCTGTTAAAACCTGGTGAAACGGTTAATGCTGGACGCTACCAACAACAATTGATCGATTTGAACCGTTCGCTGCTTGAAAAAAGACCAGAATACCAAAAGAGACAACACAAAGTCATTTTTCTTCATGACAATGCTCCATCACATACGGCAAAACCGGTTCGCGACATGTTGGAAGCACTCAGCTGGGAAGTTCTACCCCATGCGGCTTACTCACCAGACTTGGCTCCTTCCGATTACCACTTGTTTGCATCGATGGATCACGCACTTGCTGAGCAGCGCTTTGGTTCGTACGAAGATGTGAAAAAATGGCTCGATGAATGGTTCGCGGCAAAGGGGGAAGATTTTTACTGGCGTGGTATCCACAAATTGCCCGAAAGATGGGAAAAATGTGTAACTAGCAATGGAGCATACTTTGAATAAAGCTCTTTTTATCATTCTTCTGAATTTAATGTGTTTTTTTTTTTTGAAAAAAAATCCGTATTTCATACCTGTACATCTGGTAATACTAAATGTAATTCCAAATTAAATAATAATTAAAATTGAAAAAGGCTCCAAAGATTAAATCAATAAAGGAGTGTAAATCCAATGAGAGCCGACATAGTGGTACGTGTGTAACAAAAAATAATATATATGTCGATCACCAATTACAGACATTTTCTTTGGGTTTCTACGTGAGATATGTTGATGACATTGCATTGTCAATACAGGAGAAAAATATTGATAATAAGTATGTTTAATAGTTACTATCGATTAAATTTTAATATGGAACGAGGCAGCAATTGTTTGAATTTTTTTGATGTAACCTTAATAAAGAAAGATGAGTATTTGATATACGATTGGTATCACAAACCCTCGTTCTCGGAACGGTATCTGAACTATTTTTCGTGTCATTCGAGATGCCATAAAATGGGGACAATGGGTTTGATAGACAGAATTTTATTATTATCGCATCCAAGTTTTCATGAGAAAAACTTTATTCATTATTAACATCTTACTTACTAATGGTTATCCTTTAAGACTGATTTTTGAAAGTATTAGAAAAAGGTTATATACTAAACTCGAACAACTTAACAAGAACACACACCGAAAGAATATTGCCAACAATTTAATTCTATATTTTACTGTACTCTATGTGCCTTCAATAGCAGAGAAATTCAAGAGATTTTTCAAAAATAACAGCGGTGCATTTAGCTTACATAGGAATTAATAAACTAAATACATTTATAAGAGCACAAAGGAACAAACCGTCACTATTACATTCTAATGTGGTCTACAAAATTAATTGTCAAAATTGTGATATATCCTATGTGCGCCAGACGAAACGGTTATTGAAGACACATATTAAGGAACATCGGAATCACATAAATGGGAACACCATACAACACTGTAATCACAGAGCATCGAGCATAATCACAATTTTGATTGGAATCATCAAAATTTTAAACGAAGAACAAGGGTTTAATAAAAGACTAATTTTGAAAGCGATCCATTTAAAAAAACAAAAAATGGACTTATATCTGCAAAATGACACGGAATTGTTGGATCCGTTATATAATGATTTAATTTAGAGGAAATGGATGTGTTCTTGTTTTATAAACTATTAATTTGTATAGTCAATTTTTATGTTGATATTTATTCGGTTTCCATGTTTTATAAGTTATAAATTTGTATCGTCGAGTGCGTTTTGCGTTGATATTTATTTCTGTTTTTATACTTATAAACAATTGTGAATGAGAAACGTTCTCTCACACGCTCTCAAAACATAGTTATAATCAC